TTCTATAAGAAAGAAGTACTTATTACTCCTTTTATACCGAGCCCCCTCCTCTTCTTTTAGGTTATTACAAATGGACATCCAAATATATTTTTGCTTTCTAATATTGATAAGAGATGAAGTAAAAATAATAAGGAATTACCTATTAAAGTTAAAAAATGGTTAAAAAGCTCAAAGTTGATAGATTAGCTTGCTTCCAAACTTATCAAGATTATAGGATGGTGTTTGCTTTTTTTCTTTTCACTTGTTCTTTGTTTCTTTCTCTCTAAGCTCTTTCTTTTTGGCATTGTTTTTCTCTTTTTTCTTTCTTGCTCTCACTCTTTTTCTCTTAAAAAACTTTCTCTCTTCCTTAGATCTTCCTTTCTTAATCTCATCCCTTTGGTTTTGATGAGTATAAGACACTCCATCTTGTTCCCTTATTCTCTCTCCTTTCCATGCTCTTTTTTGTGTTGTCTTTACGAGGTTAAGAGTGGAGAGAATCAAGGGATGCTAAGGACAAATTTTGTTATCTTATCGTTTTGTTTTGGGTATTGGAAAGATAAGGTTCATGCATGAGATATGGATTTGGATAAGGATGCCAACAAGATTAATGCATGAGATGTGGATTGACCCACATAACTTTCAAATTATTTACAATTAAAACCCTTAATAAAAATTCAAAACTAATTCTTTTTTTTTCTTTTTCTTAATTTTTTTCATCTTCTCTTTTTCAATTTTTTTTTTACTTTTTTTTTGTATTTATGACAAAACGATAAATATAATTAAATCAAAATTAAAAGCTAATAATAAACCAAAACTAATGATAATAATAAAATAAAAATTCATGATAAACCTATACTATATAAATAAATATAAATTTCTAAAATAATTATGGTGATAAAAAAAATTAGATTATGATAATTGTCCTCTTTTTACAATGTTTATGTTGCAAAGTCGGATGAAAAATGTGTTTTTCAATAGTTTTGCATAATAAACTTGTAGAGAAATAAGTTTTTTTTTAGATGATGATATCAATGGTCATATTCTTATGGACAATCGATCCTTTTTGGTGGTCTTGCTTTTAAAGACGATTTGCCCTATTGGTCATGTTCTCATAAGCAATCAACCATTTTGGTGGTCTTGTTCTCAAGGTTGACTCGTCCTATTGGTCATGTTCTCAAGACCATAAAAAAGGATGAGTTGCCCTAATTGATGGTCTTATTCTTAAAGGCAACCTACTCGGTTTGATAGTTTTATTCTCGAGGACAATCTGCTCTAATTGATGGTCTTGCTTTCAATCGCAACATGTCTTATTTGATGGTCTTGTTCTCGAGGGTAACTCGTCTAATTTGATTGTCTTATTCTCGAGGGCAACCTACCTTATTTGATGGTCATGTTCTCTAAGGCGACATGCCCTAATTAATGGTTTTGTTCACAAGGGCTACGTACCCTAATTAATAGTCTTGTTGTCAAAGAAGACCTATTCTAATTGATGGTCTTATTCTCAAAGACATCAATGCTCTTTTCAATAAACAATATCCCTATAAACCTATTTTTCAAATCCAAATCCTAAGTATAAATCACTTACTTTTCTACAATTGTTTCTCCGATAAAATAATAAGTCGACATCCTTAAATCCCAAATGCAAAATAATAATAATAATAATAATCAAATATCATTTAAACTTAAAACACATACACATACCCATATGCATACATATAAAAAAACACATGGAAATTAAAAAAATCATAAAGCAATAAGTCAAATCAAATAAGAGAGAAAGGTACTTGTTTAGAGGGGAATCATCAAACTTGTACTAGAATTTATTGTAAAGAATCAAACACACTTATAAAAGATGTAGTCAAACACAATGATATGAAAGATGATAGAAGATGCACTCATCAAACATAAAAGAGTGCAACTAATTGATTGAATATAAAGAAACTACAATGGAGAACAAACAAATTAGAATAACAAACATTCATATAGTAGCTTAAAATAGTAAAAGCAAACATTAGGTGAATTTTTTGGCCAAGAAAACTACTAAAGCATGGCAATCAAAAGCAAGAGTAGAAAACCATCCTAGCAATTCAAGAACAAAGTATAATGTAAGAAAATGGAGAACATTAGCATAAAATAATAGGGGAAAAATAGAGAAGAAAACTCGACGCGATGTGTAGAAAATTAAAAATCATTCGAGAGGCATCTCAATTAAAGCCTTATAAAATAAAGACAATAAGATATGAGGAATGAATGGATCCTTATGAAGTTAAAGTCTAATTCTTCAAACATAATAACTTAATTATATGCTAAAAATAGTATAATCACAGACCCTTCACTTAGATCGTATATAGTTCATCGTAACCATATTTATTTTCTACAAAACAAAACTATATGAGCTCAAGGCCAACAAATGATTGAATTTTAAAGATTTATGTTAACTATTTGAGCTTAAGACGTCACTCCATTAAATTGATCCGAATATCATGACCTTTTAATCTTTATAGAATGAAAGATTGCAACCCATTGTTGAATCCATGTACATCCTAAACCACTCATAAAAAGATTTCAAATAACATTCGAGTTATCAAAATAAAGTAATAGAAGAAAATAATCGGAGAAGTGAAAGGAAGAAAATTGATAATTCACTAAATTAACATAGAATATGAAAGAATGAACATAGATACAACACCAACAAAAAGAAGCAACAAAAAAAAAATTGATATATATATATATATATATATAAACCATGAAAGAAAGAAAATCTAACAAAAATATAAATATAAAAAGAATAAAAATAAACTGAAATTAAGAACATATGCGAAGGAAGAAAATGAATGAGTTCAAAACTTCACTCTACTAATATTCATGTCATTTGTTGATAAAAATAAGCATATCTCGGACTTTTTTTCAATACATAAACAATATCAAAGGGATAATGACATAAAAAAGTAAACCTAAAAGAAAATCAAACATATTTATTCATTTTCCTCTCCTCCCCCTAGTCATTAAAAAATGAAAAAAAAAATACATGATTAAATCAAGAAATGAAAAACCATCTATGAAGTTTAAAAATGAAGCAACCAATATATAGCAAACAAATGAAAGTGCTTCAAACTCAACAATAAAAAATAAATAAAATTCAACAAAAGAGAAAAGTATTTGTAAAAACTCATTTGAATTGGAAGACTTGTACCATGTATTAAGGATTTTTTTCAGCCAAGCCATTACCTACATATCAAAACAATCAAACCACAAATCGAGTCAATAAATGATTTATCATTAGAACAACCCTAAATTAAAACAAATTAAAAAATAAATAGATTAGGACAAACCCATGCATGTTTTCTTGTATTATATTTGTTTGGGCGAGGTAGAAAAAATTCAGAATTGTTGTGAAAAGAAGACAATATGTCACACTAAATTTTTAAAATAAAACCATAAAAAATAATTAAAAAAAAATCAAGTCGCCTTCAAATAACGACTAATTTTTTAAAACCAACCCTACTTGTAAAATATAAAATCTTGCACAAATCCTTCGTGTTTAACCAAATAGTAACCCAAAAAATATTTTTCTTCCTTTCATATCTTTTGTCTCCTTTTCCTTCACAAATATATTGACGAGAAAAGAACAGAAAAGAACAGAAAAGAAAAGAAAAGAAATTTATAAATTTTAAAAGAAAAAAATGAAACCCAAACAATATACTTTGAGAGCTTGAGAATACTCTAAAAACTCGCATGAAATAAAATATTTCTTTTTCAATATGCTAGAGTCACCTTTCCCCTACATTCCCCCCTTTCTCGTCTATTGCAATCTCCTCTACCCTCTATTTTTTTCTCTAGTTTCACCTCCCTCTCTCTTTCTCTTGCTAAACAAAATACCTATTCCCCTCATTTTCCTACTCTCCTCCTGCCCCTCTCTGTCCTTTTTTATTTTTTTTCCCTCTTTCCTTGCTAGTTAAAGAAAATGATTGAAGAAGAGATAATGGTTGTAAATTTGACAAGCAACAATTGGCCATCAAGATTACAGCCTTATCACTAATAAGCAACTAAAGGTCTAAAATGAGCTCCTCATTTACAATCCAGTAGAAAAAAAAAAAAAAAAAAAAAAAAAAAAAAAAGGTAAAAACAGAAGAGAAGGACTTAATGAGAAGATGTAGAAGAAAAATAAAAAAAATGCAAAAATGTCGGAAAAGGACATAAATGGCAGAGGAAAAAACAAAGGCGAACAGTGACAAAGTAACATAACACAGCCATTGAATGACATCGAAACAATTAAACAAAAAATAGAATGACGCAAAATAAGCAACTTGCAAAACAACAAAAGCCAGCCAAACCGTTAAATTAAAAAATCATCTGAAAATAGGAAAAGCCAACCAATCCAGCAGTGGAAAAAAAAAAAAAAAAACAAAATCACACACAAACAACTTGAGTCACAATGAACAGGAAGCAAACTAACGAAGAAGGCCTAGCTAGCAGCAATAGCTATATTCCGATATGATCCATGCAAACTGCTAAGCAACTCCAAAATCCTTTTAGGGGGAGAAGTAAACCCTAGACACTAGAGTACTTCCAGCTCCTTATTAGCATGGATTTCGAATAGGTTGTGCTAACTGCTAAGCATATCTGAATCATCAACAAAATGTCAAAATCAAAGATAGGAATATCAATTCACCAACGGAATATTATTATTATTAAGAAATAAATTTTCACAGCTGTAGAACTAAAAAAAAAAAAAAAACATGCTTCGGCTAAAAGTATTGAGATACATCACACTGCACAGATTCAATATTCTTGTCAAAAATCACAGAGCTAATGGCTAATGAAGCCTACCAAGTTATTATAAAAGAAAAGGGTAAAAAAAAAAAAAAAAACACATCCAGTATCAAAATTTCAGTTTGTTAGCCATTTTAAGCTTCTCAACAGCTACTGTCTCATAGAACCATCCACAGCTCCACTTGATGACATAAAACTACCGCACTGGGGAGGATAAGCTTCAGTAGACTAGCATCGCATTGACAATGTTACTGTTTCGGGTAGTAATAAGGATATCCACCCATTCCGACAGGTGTTGTTGGTGAAAGTCCTAATGATTCTTTCTTCGCTGAAACTTGTGGATAGGAAATTTGAGATTGTGTTGGGAATGGAGCAGGTGCGACAGGAGGACTAGGGTATGAAGAAGCTGGATATGATGCTACAGTTTGAGGATAAGGATAACCAACAGGGGCACCACCGCCAGCTGGTGCTTTACCTGGCTGCGCATATCCAGCTGCTGCCATTGGTACTGGTACTGGAACCATGGGAGCTGGTAACTGCATTTGTACCGTTTTGCCCTTATGGGTATCAGCAAGCTTCACAATGATAGTTCTCCCCTGCAGCCAAGCAATTAAAACTAAGTTATTTTATCAACCAAGTCTCATTGAGATTTGTCACTCATGTAGCGTGTCCAGGAGCCTTTCCAAATAGGAACCGGATTAAAGAGACCTGTCTCTAGGACAAGCACTTTACAACCCATATGACAACCAAAAAAAAAAAAGTCCCTTGAGAGAGATATCTTGCTTAAAAATTTGAAGCATCTAAGTATGGTATGGTAAATGCCATAATCAACCAATAAAAACAGAAGAGTTCAACTCTGTGTCGTGTTGACACCACCACAATTTATAGCGTGAGGGAAAAAATTGAATGACCTTGAAGACCTTCAATCCTCCAAAGGGGCCCATAAATGTACATTTATTGATGGAGGAACATCAGTTGCTGACCAAACTGCAGCAGGAAAGTTATTCTATAACAGGTCCAGGCCTACAACTTTAATCAATTTAACAGTCTTAGTCCAAACTACTTGGGGTTGGCTCTTAACTCAGAAGTTTCTAAATCTACAACTTCAATGTAGCACTTCATAAAGACAACAAACTGCCTATAGAAAACACAATCACATTGTCTTTCAGAGAATCTCCCACCTTATCCTGCATTACAGCAAAAATTAAGTTCGCTTTTTTTCTTTTTCAAAGAGGAAGTTCGCTTTTTTCTCTTTTTCAAAGAGGAGCAAACATCAAGTTAACAATCTTCATTATATGGCACGTAGCATTTTGATATAAAGAAAGATAATGCATAAAAAAGAAATTAGAGTGCAAACTTTACAAAGACATTCCGGCCAAAAAGGAAAATAAATCATCACATGTTATGATGTTTAAGAACCTTCCTCCCTAAAGAATCAGGTATTAGAACAATAAAAAAGATCACTATTACGACCACCGCCAGGGAATTATCATCAACTTACCCCAAGCAACTTGTGCGGATCATCTATAGCCTTCTTTGCAGCCTCCACCGTCTTGTATGTAACAAAACCAAACCCACTGCATATGAAAGGGGAAAGAAAAACAACTTTCAGCAGTTAGTGGCAGAGTTTAAAACTGGAAAAAGGGTTAATGATAGCAAATATCTCTCAACAAATAGAGAAAGAAAATGGTGTTTTACCGTGATTCATTAGTATCTTTGTCATAGGCAACTGAGCCTTCTTCAATCTCACCATATCTTCCAAAAAAATGAAGCAGCATCTCAGTTGAGATCTCTGGCGACAAACCCCCAATGTAGAGTTTCCTCTGGGCTAGATCAGGTGTAGTACTTGCACCAGTTAATCCCTCACAAGCTAGATTGCAGACAGCCATTCGACCCTGCAAAAAGAAGAAAATTATAAAAAATATCAAAATCTCAAGAATAAGAAAATGTGGGAGAACAGCACAAATGCCTAACTAGAGAAATATTACAACTAGAGAAGTTACTAGGTGTCTAGGATTGTCTTGCTTAGCTGAGAAGAAGCTTTGGCAGCAAAAGTCTATATCCTAGCTATCAATTGAATGCAATGACAGCCACATGATAACAAATACTCCCTCTGTTCAGACTTAAAGTTGGATGCAGACAACAGAGGAAGCAAACTTGTGTCTTTTTGTAAACAAGGGTATTTCTATAATTTCAATAAAATCTGAAAATTTGTCTAAGTCTAAGTTTTATTTTCTATTTAGTATTTTATTAGTCCTAAGAGTAATAATTAGCTTTATTAGGTTTTTTCCTATTCTATGTAGATTTAGCGATTTCTTATTTAGGAATTCTTGTCCTAATTGGATTTGGACTTCTACAACTCTATAAATACAGTATGTAATCTTTCAATGTTTAAAATGCAATAATATCAAATAATTTCCAGCACTTTGCTTTTGATTATGTGACTCAATCACCCTTAGATATGACTCCTAAGAACCCTAGATGTGAAGCTTAGGTTTTCCTATCCTCTAAGTGTGACTCCTAGAAACCCTATTAGTGTGACTCTAATAGTTCTACAATTCCAAGTAGAAACCGATTTCAATACAACTATAAAAACCCTTAAACAGCCTCCAAACTCAGATCCAAAACAGCCTCTAAGCTGCCCTGCATCAAAAGTACATCCTAGAAAACCAACATTTTAGGGGAACCTAACGTCACAATAGATCTAAACAACAATTTCTAAGATTGCACCTCAAAAGATGCCTTTTATAACATTTGACTATATTATATACTCAAATACAACAGGATAATTTGTAAATTCGTTAATTTGTTGTGCTATATTTTCAAAGCAGGCTAATGCAATGGGACCTCCAAGAAAAGCAGAAATGAACTCTTCATATGGAACAGAGGATGTATCATCTGCACACCAAAATGTTACCAAATTTAGAGGATTGGGATGTGCTTTATTCAAGAAGCCTTTCGTCTTGTTGCTCCAGTTCTCACAAGCTCATTACATGATTTCACACTGAAAAATCCCCCACCTTTAACACAAAGGCAACTCCAAGATCCAGATAAAAAAACAAATTGAAAATGTATTTCAACTCCATTGTTGGCAAAAGGGACACCCTCAAACATATTTAAGCAGCTGGCCCCAAACTAAGCTAGCAATTATCATGAGTCTATGCCAGGTCATATTGCTTTTGGGGATAAGTACCATTTCACAAATCATTTGGATAAATAGTAAATACCATTCCACAATTTGATTACCACATTAATCTATCTACTCAAGAGCAATGTAGGCGCACACACAAATACCTGTGTGTATGACACATGAGGGTTAAGTCCATAATTTTTTTTTCTTTTAATATTGTCGTATTGCATTCAGAAGAACACTTCCATAATCCACTTCTGCTTACTGCTTAAAATGTATGCCATTACAAATAGTTCATGTTGCATACACCCATGCAGGTGGAACAGGAGTGTGCACAAACAGAAACACACAAATCATGATGTGTAGGGAATTGAATGACACTGAGCTGGTTTATCTGTTTGATGTAAAGGAAAAATCACGGATGTAAGAACTTAAAAAACCAGTAATTCTTACATCAATCAATTTGCTGGGTGCTCCTAGTGCACTTTGTGCTGATTCCATATGCTTGTAAGTAATGAAACCATAGCCACGTGACTTTCCGGTCGCTTTGTCATAGATCACAGCTCCTTCTTCTATCTCACCATGCATTTGAAATGCCTGGAACAAAAACATCCGGCACTTGGACATCAGAAAGATTTAGAATAGCAAGTAATACATCAAAGAAAAGAGGAGCATGTAAAAGATTGATTTTCCATGTGAAAAAAATCAAGGAAAAACTTGTATCAAGTGGGACAATCATCACCATGGCACACAAAAAAGACACTCAGCAATCAGCAATGCACTCACAGAACATAAGGTTTCTGAAGTGGTATTCCAGGCCAAGCCCCGAACAAAAAGCTTTCGATGGACTGGATCTGCACTGGCAAGACTTTTAATTTCTTCTGCAATCGAAGGATATTGGGACCCTCTTTATGCCTCAACATGCAAGCAAACACGCATGCACAGTGTCAATCACACAACATACAGATGAAGAACCATTCACAAACCACCCAATCAGCAGAGACAAGTGGAACATCCTCACAAAGGCACCTATATAGTTGGTGCACGCACACACACAGAGAAAACAAAGAAGCAATGAATCTAGGTTCCAGAGCTGTTTTCTTAATAGAACAGTGTAGCAACTAAATTGTTTCTAAATGCACCTACGTGAATTTACAGTATTTGAAACGTCAAGGATATAGAAAACTAAAGACTCAAAATTAATTTTTGCAAAGAAAACAACCATAGAGACATTAAATGCATCTACAAGAATTCATAGTAATGAAGAATGTTAAATCTTTATTTGAAACAGGAACTAACAGAGGATATAAAAAAATAAAGATCGAAAATTGAAAACTTTAGCAAAGAAACAATAATAGAGCTTCAAAATGCACCAACTACAATGTACTGCAATGTAAAAAACTCAAACTTTTATCAAACAAACAAAGGGTATTAAAACTAACAAAATTTCAGTAGTAAAACAACAACCCACTACCTTTCTCTAACAAGAACCAGTAGAAAATTAGTGGGGCACTATTTGGTTGCCTAAAACAGAATAGTGCTCAAAATGCTATCTTTATATTAAAAAGCTAAATCTTCTACCCTTTCGAAGGCTTTCAAAAATCAAACCCAGACTACGATTTGAAACAATCCAATAGAAATAAAACTCAACTTTTAATCTCAGCTTATTGCAAGAACTATATCAATCTAAACTAAAACCCCGCTAATTATTATTAACAAAACAAACCCATATATGTCTTTTTATTCGGCAACCAAAGCCAAACAAAATAGAATCCAAAACAAAACAAAAAACAAAATGAAAAGAACCCAGAAAAGAGAACCCAATAAATCATTGAAAAAAGAGCTAGAGAGAAGAGAGGGACGCACAGTCTAGAAAGAAGATCGACAAGCTGGGGTTTATTAAGAGGGTCAAGTAGTGAACGAAGATAATCTTGTGTGGTCGATGTTTCGTCAGAACCATTGTTACTTCCCTCCTCCATCTTTCTCTTCTTCATGTCTTCCATATCTGTTTTGTTTTTCTCTCAGTGAGGTAGTAAACTTTTTTTATTTTTATTTTTTTGCAAGTCTGTGAGGTAAAAGATGGGGTGTGAGATTTTTAACAAATTTTGTGTTACTTATGTTGTCTGTTTTGGGAGAATTCATTAGGGGGCCCAGACTCGTGGCCACGTCAACTGACCCAAACAATATAATTGGCTTAAATTGCTTTTATGGGTCCACTTTAAAAAACAAAAAAAGGGTACTCTCTCACCAACTTCTTATCATCTCTCTGTTTCTTTGTTCCTTCCCTTCTCTATCCCTACTTTTCAATCCTTTGCAAGTACCGGACTTTCTTTTCTTCTTTTTCGGTTATGACTTTTCTTTTTTCCCTTCATGTTTTGTGAATCAAGTACCAATTTTGCTAATGAAATCATTGACATACTGAAACTCCCAAAATTGACTGAGAATGGTCTTTCTATTTTTTTTCTTGTTACAGATCCATGGGAAAGTTATTCCCTTGAATTTCCTCTTCACAAACTAACATAGATGTCTTGGTTGGGTAGTGTTCCTTTTGCTATATAGATCTTCATCCCAGGAAGCTCACAATCAAAGATTTTTATTTTGTAAGAATATCTTTGGGTCTCCCTCTAAACTTTTTCTCTCTAAATTCTCTCTCCATCGATCCTTCCTTCAACATAGATTGGTGATAAATTTTTACTTTCTGAGGCTCTTAATTAGTGTTTTTTCATCACGTAATTCTTATGAGAAATCTGTGCCCATCTCGACGGAGGTTTATGGCAATTATCATCGGCGAGATTCGAATGAGATTTTGCGATCACAATCGCTGTCTTTATCACAGAAGCAGATTGTTTTCCATGGAAATGGAGATTCTGTGTTAAAGTGTAGTGTTCTTCTTGAGCTAATTAGATTTCTTATTGACTACTTTTGAGCGTCCTAAGATGAATGTCAAACACATGTTCCCAGAACTAATTTGCATCTGCCACGTGTCCTGACTATTATTAAAAAAACAAAAAAAACACTTAACCAAAACATTAGTCTGCCATTCATTAGCTGTTATAAACAGTATTTATCCGAACTGTATCACATGCACATATTCACATGCATTATTCCTGTCCTTTTACCCTGTAATGGTTTTTTTTATAATTTTTAATTTTTTTTAATATATTTATTATAGAGGTTTTCCTAACATTATATTTTATTTTTTTAAGACATTATTTTTTAGATCCATAATTTTTTTTATTTTGATTCCTTTTTTTTTCATTTTAATCATTTTAGTCCTTTTTTTTATCTGTTTTTTTTTAATTATAAATTTTAAGGCAAAAAGATGTTTAGAAAAAACAAATTACAAAATAAGCTTTTAGTTAAAACTATAGATAAAAATAAATAAATAATATTTTGTAATAAAAATTTTATGATAATTTAAAAAATAATTAATCAAATACAAAATTTTAATTAAAAATTATAAAATTGATTTTTATTCAATTTTGATTTAATATATTTTAATAGGCGCATAATATAATACGGGATATCAAACTGAAATAATTTTATGTATTCTATCCGACTTGCAATATATCGCAGGTAAAAAAACTAGATGATTCTACTAAAAAAAGGTTCAATGACATATTTTTATACTTCAAAAAAAGTTTAATTATATATTTTACCCCCTAAATTATTGGATTGTGGCAAAATAAGGTGCAAATTGTCTTTTTGAACGTTTTTCTCGTTATGTTTGATGGTTAAAATTTTGATAATATTTAAAACTTTTTATATATTTTAATTTTTTTATACTAAAAACTATTTAATAATTGTCAAAAAGAAAATTGGGCCCGGATCATTGAAAACAATTCAAGTAATTTTCTTTGCAGATTACCTTTTTATTAAAATAATTTTGTAACAGAACTGAAATACTTAAAACAAAAAATTATTTTCAACACTTAAAATTATTTTTAAAAAATTATTTACTAATTACAAAAAATAGAATTGAGCTTAGATGAGTAAAAGTTATTCAAGTAATTTTTTCTATGCTTAAAATTATTTTTTAATAATTGTAAAAAAATTGATAAGGGTTTGGATTAATCAAAACTATTCAAGAAAGTTTTTTTTTTTTGTAATTATTAATTTTTTAAAAATAATAATTTTAATCAAACACAAGTATTTGTTATCATCACTTTATTTTTATCTACCAAAAAGTTATAAAGTGGGTTTGGGCTTGCTATGCATGCTAGGTGGCACACTTGGCCCAAGCCTAAATCTCAATTCAAAAATAAAATAAAATAAAATAAAAATCTCAAAATGAAACTCTAAACAAGTTGAAATTAAAACTCTAAACTAAATAGCACACTATTAATACACCATGCTCTAACCCCTCACACACACCATATCACCTAGACTAAAAATCCTAGATGCCAAGAATGAAAAGAAAATAGAGGCAGGAAAAGACGATGTCGTCACTCGTTGTCCGTCCATCCTTCCTCTGCACACGTTGCACCATTAAAGTTGTTCAGAGAGAACGATCACAATGCTGTCGAAAGGAACTAATTTGAACCACTACAGATTCCCTACGTGTCACTTCTTCCTCCGTTCTCTTTATTGCATTTTTGTCTAGTTTGGTTCCCAAACTTTTAATTTAGGTATTCAAACCCCTCGATTTTTTATTCTTGATTTAGTTTTCATTTGAATTTTATATATTTCATGATTATTTTATTGACAAATCAAATACACTCTGTGTCACTATACTACATCAAAAATATTGTTACAATTTTCTACTCAGATATAGTTTATAGAAAACCTTATATTGTTAGACTTTTATGCAAAACAGCCCTTTCATTAACTTTTTTCATCGGATTGACTAATTTTCATTAGTTGACTAATATCTAATTAATCAAGTGACAATACATGTCAATTTAAAAATAAAAATATAATTTTCTTTTATAATCAAAACTTTTAATTTTTAAATTAAAATAATCATTAATTATTAAAAAATAAAAAAAATTATAATTTTTTAAATAATAAAAAATATTTCTAATTATTTATAATAATAATTTTTAAATAATTTTTAAAAAAATAAATAATTATTTTTCAAATTTTTATGATTTTATAATGATTGTTAATAAAGAAATTTTAAAAAAAAATCTAAAGAAATTTGTAATGATTTTATAATAATTACTAACGAAGAAAATTAAAAAGTATAAAGAAATTTTTTTTGAAAAAATTAATAATCAAAATTTTTTTATTAAAATAATTAATAATAATTTTAAAATCAGTTTAAAAATGAAAATAATTAATGATCATTATAAAATCGTTTTTAGAATTTTTTAAATTTTCTTTATTAATAATTATTTTAATATTAAAAATTGAAAAAAAATAATTATTAATAATTATTATAAAATAATTAAAATTGAAAAAATTATTTAAGTATTTTTTAAACTGATTTAAAAAAAAACTATATTTTTAACTTTAAATTAACACGTGTCGGTACTTGATTGGTCAAACATTAGTAATCCGATAGAAAAAATTAACGAAATGAATGTTTTGCACCAACGTCTAATATTATAGGATTTGCTATGAAATATATATGGATAAAAAATTGTGAAATGGTTTCGATACAGTATAGGGGCATAAGGTTTATTTAACCCTTTTATACATTGACTCATGTTATAGTAATATTAATTATGTAATTAATATAAGATTTAGATAATTAATTGAACTAAATTTGTTCAATTTGAGCTTAATTAAAAATATTTGAATTTAAAATTCTTGAAGTTATTTGAGTGATTCAAAAAGTTTTAAATTTAAGTTATTTGTTATTTACGTGTGTCTAAAATTTAACCTTATTCGGATAGGGAGTAAGTAATATTTTTAGGATTTATCTTACTCTGATTTTTTTTAACTTTAATTTTACTATTACTATTGTTATTATTATTTGAAATCAAGGCTAAAGATGATTGATAAACTATATAATATTAATTTTATTTTCTTCATAATTTTCTATAGAGTCATCTTTACATGATCTATAGTCAATGCATATCTAATGTATTTATGTTTTGCACTTGATGCATTTTTTATGTGATGTCAATGTAAGTCGGTCTAGATGGATAGGTTTAAGACTTGAAACCAATTTGGTTCCAATGACCCTCTTTTTCCTTATTATTATTGTTATATTTATTCTATTTTATTTATTTTTTCGGTACCACTAATTTTTCTTCTTGCAAATTTAGATCTAAATTAAATATTAAGTTTTGGACCCAATTTCACTATGTTTAGGTGATATGGCAAGTTGACATGGGATTAGGAGTCGTATCTTTATTCAAAAGATATATAATTTTATTTTTATTGTTTGACAAATGAATTTGAATCTAAGAGCAAAATTTGTTGTTGTTTTGTCTTTATATGTTTGTGTGGGTTTTGGGGCTTAATTTGCAAATAGGTTTTATTTCTTGACTCGTCATCCTTTCAATTGGGCTCCAAAGGCCAATGAAAACTTAGGTGAAACATTGGATCTTCTTTCGGTCTCCAATCACCTTATTTAGGAGTAGTTAAAAAAAAGTACTCAAATATTCAAAATCACAAATCATGAAAAAAAAAGTTTCACATAATTGAATTTTGCATAAAGAAATTTTTATAGGTTAGAATTGAGTTGTAACCTTATTATAATGACACTTTAGAGTGATTGTGATCTCCTCTAGCCGTGTAACCAACTTCTTTATCCAAAACTATTAGAATCAATCTCTTAAGTTTTTTTTTAGTTTTTACCTTTTAAAAAATTAAATGACAACTCCACGTTTCAAATACAGATTCCTCTTACGATCGTTGAGAGGTCATTATGTAACACTTAAAAAAAATATCATTTTAAATATTTTAGTTAATAGTTAAAATTTTGATCATCGGATATAGCGAAAAAAAAAATCAAATTTACCTAAAAATATAATAAATTAGGGTAAAAATAGACCAAATTGGGGTAAAATATGCTATTAGCAAAAACATCTAAAAGAGATGAAAAAAATGAATTGTAATTACTATTCATTTCCTTGTAAATCACTATTCATTCATTATTTATTGGGTGGCAATTTTGGTAATTTTTATAGTGGTATTTTCATGATTCTTAGCTAATTTTAGGCATTCATATGTAAATTTTATATTATATTTCATTTTAGTCTTTAATGTTTTTAAAAAATATTTTTAGTCCTTTATTTTTTAAATATATTTTTGATGACCTCATGTTTTTACTTTATTCCATTTTGGTCCTTCATTATTCAAAGAGATATTTTTAGCCCCTCACATTTTTAGATTTTAAAATATATATGTGTGTGTGTATATATATATATATAAGATTATGTTATTCTTATTGTTTAAAATTGATCACAAGCCATGTGAGCTTCAAATGAAATTTGAATCGAAAAAATTCAAATGTGCTAGTATGATTAATAGAATCTTAATTCATGATTTTTCTATCTAAAATTGAAAGAATAAGCTAATATGATTAAAAAATATATATAAAGTTTGTGATTTTATGGTAAGCCTTTAAGTTTTGTCACGTGTAATTTGTTTTTTTTTTTTTCAATCTTTTGCCAAATGGGTTTTGAAATATTTCAATTTCATCTCGATTTAACAAATTTTTTTTTTTTATCTTTTTGTTTTGGATGATCTTTCTCTATCCGATTAACAAATTGTTGAAAATTATTTATCCAAAATTTTAAAAATTACTACGTTATTATTAGTTATTATAATATTTATAATAAAATGCAGGTTTTTTTGGTAATTTTTATATTGGTATTTTCATGATTTCTTAGCTAATTTTAGGCATTCATATATAAATTTTATATTGTATTTCATTTTAGTCTTTGATGTTTTTTAAAAATATTTTTAGTCCTTTATTTTTTTAAATATATTTTTGATGACCTCATGTTTTTACTTTATTCCATTTTGGTCTTTCATTATTCAAAAAGATATTTTCAGCCCCTCACGTTTTTAGATTTTAAAATATACATACATACATATATACATACATACATACATATTATATTATTTTTATTGTTTAAAATTGATTACAAGCCATGTGAGCTTCAAATGGAATTTGAATAAAAAAAATTCAAATGTGCTAGTATGATTAGCAAAATCTTAATTCATGATTTTTTTCTTTCTAAAATTGAAAGAATAAGCTAATATGATTTTAAAAAATATATAAAGTTTGTGATTTTCTAGTATATTAAGCCTTTAAGTTTTGTCATGTGTAATTTTTTTTTTCAATCTTTTACCAAATGGATTTTGAAATATTTCAATTTCATTTTGATTTAACAATTTTTTTTTTAATCTTTTTGTTTTGGATGATCTTTGTCTATAACAAATGGTTGAAAATTATTTATCCAAAATTTAAAAACTACTTCGTTATTATTAGTTATTATAATATTTCTAATAAAATGTAGGTTTTTCTTTTAGCTAACTCACGACAATCAATGAGATATATGCTCTCTGAAATTTTTTTGCATAATCTTTTTAAATAATTGTTTTGAACTTAGTATTTTATATGAATAAATAAATGAGAATACTGTGCGGTTCTTTCTGCAGCTGGAGGGGAATATATGGTAGTTAATCTCTGAGATTGAATTAGTAAAATGTTTCAAGAGAATTGGACAAGTATCTTCTTTATTTGCAAGAAGTTATTGCATTTTGCATCCAATTATTCAACAACCTGCAAAATTGAAATTTGAACTCCAAACTGCAACATAACAAGAGCAATGGATGGTCAAGACTCCAAAACTCAATCTCTCATGTCAGCAAGCATGGCCTATGATGCATTCCTTTTTTTCTGATGGCTAATATAACATTTTTCCGAATCTCACTTCTCATAATTGATACTCCACATGTAAAGCAAACCCGATAAGGCTTGCTTTCCAGTAAACAAGTGTTAATTCGTTTTGATGGTCAGTCTTTTTGGAATTTTATTGCTGAAAATATGTAAAGTTGACTAAAGCTAACTAGATGAAAAGCCAGTGTTTCTCCAGCTGAAATTTTAGCATCTTCAAAAGGTCGATTAATGGGCACTGTAGGCTCCAGGCTTTTCAGCGTCAAGATTAGCATAGGCTTTCGTTTGTTTTCTGCTGTTGCTCCAAAATTTTCCTTAGCTGCTTCCCATTTTCCTCAATTTGCAACTTTAGATTTCGCTGAATCTGCCCCGAAAGGGTAAAATACATGAGAAGAGAAGTCTCTCAACTGAAAAAGAACTTGATCACTAGTCCATAGCCGTAAGAAGCATTGCCTCTAACTGCAGTTGCAGCTTTAAACATATAGCAACTGGTTTGCTAGGTATTCCAAAATTTAAAGTCACAAGGCAATACCTCTAACTGTTCGTCTAGATGCTTCTCGTTATCTAGATGCAGTTGCAGTGCCTCCTTGATTTCCATGCTACAGCCAGACGAGAAGACAAGTTGGGGTATGCCACTGATAGTAGGTTTTTCTGCAGAAACCCAATATTGATATGAAAATTACAAGTAGATTACCTTCGAAAGTACTTGAACATGTAGCAGAGATGTACCTTGTTGACATTCTGACAAGTACTTATCAGACCGATATTTCTGCAAAGCAAATTATTAGAGAAGGATAACAATACAAATAAGCTTAGGTGAAACCAAAACACAACCTGATTTCAAGCTGAAAGCATAAGTACCTGCAAGTGACTTTTGACATGAAGGATGGTCAATCCTTTTGCTTCCATCATCTTCAGTATGGCCTTTGGTTTTGCTTCTATTATTATTTGATCAATGTAGACAATGAATAAAAGATAGTCTTTCAACAATTGAACAAACCTCATATCAATTTACTTACTTTCAGCACCACCAAGGCTATTGACACACTTGACAAACTTCTCATGAAGATCTTGCGTCCATCGAATTCGTTTTTTACTCAAGAAAATTGGTCCATGAGATCCTGAACTGCTGCAGGTAGAGGAACCATCCCCAAAATGTCTTTCAGATGATTCTGGCTGTTTAGAAGAATATTACAGTCTTGGATAGGCACATTTGTTTACTTGGACGCTAGCGAAACCAGACATGATCTATGCGCACAAAAACTTCAAAATAACTTGAAGGAAAGAACTTACTTCAGGATCATTTTGTTTATCATCAGGAGGCTGAAGGTGCCTTCCAATCAAGGTTGCGTTGTCTCCAGGTAATTGGACTTGGTCAAGTGAAAGAGACGCACTTCCCCTCAAATTAATGGCTGACAGATATGTTTGAAACTTTTCACACGATTTATGGTGTTGGTTGCTACATAAATAAGGTCTCAGCATTGTTTGCAAATTGGATTCATCGAAAATGTTACCCCTGGATGATTGATATGGTAGCATCTCTGGATCATTAGGCCTGGGAAACTGTGAACTTGAAGGACAAGAAGCAATTTCGTAATGACCATCTTGCTGAAAATCCAATAAGAATTCATTGGTGCAAAAGGCCGATGATAACTGATCGAATTGACTTGGGATGATGTTAGATGACGTGGCAGGCCCTAGGTTTTGCCATTGAGATACTTCCTCCATGCCTGATGGCTGCGATCAAGGTCTCCCACTCCAATTTTGATCTGTCTAGTGATTGGAAAGCTTAGTAAGCACCCTATGAAGTTTGGAGCTTCAGTTATTCTCCATTGTTCATTTTAAAGGTGATAAATCCTATATATATATATATATATATATATGTATGTATGTATGTATGTATGTATGTATGTTTTATTCCGTTGAAGATTTCTATTCTTGAGTGTTAACTAGCACTCAAGAGCTCATCGATTTTCATTTTCTTGGTACACTGCTGATAATATATATGTACAGCAGCCAGCAGAGTAAGTAATCAATATGGAGACCTCCTTTATCTTTTTAGAACAGCAAAATATAACTTCCAAGTTGTAGGTTTTGGTGAGTTTCCACCTCAATGACAATTATCTGCTATAATTTTCTAAGGATTTCTAATGTTAGTTTTGCAATAAATTGTTTAAAATATATAGATTTAGCAAACTTCTTGGTAAATACGTATGTTCATAACAAGGCAACCCAACTTGGTTAGCATTAGGACAATTGCGTCGGTTAACATGTAACCATCAGTACAAGAGGTACTTGTTGTACAAGTTATAAGCAATGGTAAGATAGTACACTGTTATAGTACAAGTTCTAGACATGGATTAATCATTGATAGGACATGGGCTAGCTTGCACGTGCCCACCAAGATGTACTCATGATTGCCAGCAATGAAAGAAATATGACTCCATATTCTGCGTCTGACCAAATGATGTGGTGCTCCACCTTGCATTTATAGTTCTTCAGTTTCCTGATTTTTTATTTGACTAATAAGCGACGGTTCACTGAACCTTTGGTTTAATACTTTTATCAAACAATCAGGAGTGAAAGGCATATTGAAAGATAATTGGATCATGTACAACTTTCTGCATATTCTGCACTGTCCATGTCCAAGAGTCTGTCAATAGCATGGAAAGCACTGCAAAGAATGACGACATTCTTACAAGGTCTATGGTAAGGATGGCAATGAATGGCGATACACTAACATACCAAGGATTTTATCCTGCTTAGCTTCTCTTTTATTTATTTATCTATTAGGTAGAAAGCAAGGATTCTATCCTCATTAAGTTCTTGATGATGATGATTAGGTTATAATCAGATATAGTTTATTTTATTAAAAGCATTGAACAACTCAACGCACTTAATTTTGTTTCTTTTGCCAACCTTAACATTCAGAAGGCCCTTCCTTCATTTTGTATGGACTGCTTTCATTATTCTTTATTTACAGGATAAAATATATACCTCTGTAGGAGTATAGTTTAGCTTTATTCTTAGAAACCCTAGCACCGAAAGTACTATTTTGGCTATATCTCTTATGTTAAAAAAAAAAAAAAAAAAAAAAAAAAAAAAAAGAAGAAGAAGTAAACCATTATTTGAACCATTAGAAGTGCAATCCCAAACCAATTATCTATCCTGTTGTCTTGGTTGAAATACTGCTAAAGCTTATAGTTGTCTTGAAGTCATCCCCCACATGAAAAAAAGGTCAAGCTAGGCCTACTGCCAGAATGTCCTGGTCAAGTAAACATGAATAAGTTTCGTGTTCAAAAATGGATTAATTTATTTTATGCCCTTCTGTAACGGTCAGATATTCTCACCCTCTTAAGTCTTAAGTGAAGGTTTAGATATAGCATTATAAATGCAGGGTGATGTTGCTGGATCTTATGGACGATCCTTTAAAACATGACTACCCCTTCAGTAAACATCTCTATCATTTTGGAAGTAGTTACAAAGCAAATTGCCATTTGTTTCTTCCAACTAGCCATATGTTTTGCTGATAGCAGAATTAAAATGAAAAAACTTTTATTACGGCTTTTGATCGACTTCTGATTGACTGCGGCGTACAGAGCTAAATGGCTGGTACTTGTAACCAGGCTAATAGGGCAGACATCAAAACTCTGGTACATTTTTATTACATGAACTTGAAGTACATAATAATGCAAGACGACTGATGTTCTAAAGCTGATTCAGAACCCAGAAAAATTGAACACTACAAGAACCACATGAGTTTCTGTTTCGCAAAGAATCCCAACTTCCAAGTTCTAAAGGGTATTATGCATGAGAACACACATCGTATTGGTATGTATTTGCTCTTCCTATATAGAGACATTTAAGTGCTTTTTCTTTCTTGACGTGGGAGCAGAGATCGTTCGTTATTCTGTTGTAGCTGGGGACTAGAAACCAGTTTTTCCAGAACCCATGAGTACTTGTGCATGACAAACAGTCCCATGTGCTTTGAAGGTCTAACTTATCTTGGATGGGAAATGAGTATTGTTATCAGAACCTTCTACAATGGAAACATCAATATCTTCAAGGCTAAATGTTGGCTCATCTAGAGAAGTAATGTCCAAGTTCTGATTATTAATCAGGAGACTATTGGTTGTTTTCTGTTGCTGATCAAACATCATCTTAAGTTGCTTGCCTTGTTCTTCAATACGTAGTTGTAGGTTTCTTTGAATCTGTCATAAAAAATGTTAGCAAGTGAAGTCAGTAATTATTGGCAGGTGAAATCTAAAGGCTAAGTCATTCAAAAGTCCGATCATCTTGGTCTTGAATGAACAACTCCTCGCAGGAGGCTATCAGGACAAAACTCTACCAGGGCATGACCTATATACATGAAATAAATGAAATAAAAGTTGGCATCGATGAAACATCTTGTGGATGTACCTCCAGCTGCTCATGCAGACGCCTCTGGACATCTAATTGGAGGTGCAGTGCCTCTCTAATTTGAAAGCCACTGTCAGAAATGGTTAACAATTTGTTATAAGTTTGAGTGATTGTCTGTAGAGAAGAAACCGAAAAGAAAACATGACTCAATTTCAGATTTCAGAAGTTTATATGGCTTGAATGCTTTTGGGACACAATTCATAATAATAATAATAATAATAACCAAGGAAGAAGGATGCATTATGAGATTTACGTTTTGACATCGAGCTGTGATACATCATTTATGCTAGTTCTTTTCTCCGCCTTTCCTGCCATAGAATGGTATTTGAATCATAATTTTAAGTGCAGTGAAAGAAAGCATACACAGAAATCCTATAAAAGTTAAACAGAAACTCTGCATCATCAAACAGAACATTCAAGAACTACTTTATATGTAATAATCTCTCCTGTTGGGTGTATGTTACAAGCAAGCTGGACTTTTAACTAATCCCAGCCAAAACCACCAAAAGATAAGATAGGAAATTATTATATATTGTTAACATCATTACAATTACTATGCATATAGAGAAAATGAGCTACTGACAAGATAGATGTAATAGCTGTTGCAAGAAAGCAGAGCACTCTGGTCATCAACACCCTTTGAGAGAAAGAAAGGAAAAAGATTGCTCATCATTTCCCCAAATTTAAAGTAACTAAGAAAACTAGTATAGATATATTCCTTGCTGCAAGAACTTGACAGGGATTGAAGGCCTATAGAATCCTCTCCTCTCTTTAAGTGTTTTGAAAGGTAGCGCTACTCATGCTATATGGTAGTTAAGGTCTGAATTAAAACATCAAAGATTCCATGAAAAACTCTCTTCATGTATTCATATTCAAACTCGACTCGCTATGAGATCAATTTCAAGCAGATAAGGAATGAGGAATTTAAATCATTTATTATAAGAGATAATTACAAGGGTTTACCTTCTGAAGAGTCTGGCATGTACTTTGCAATTCTATATTTCTGCAAGAACAAAGAGAAAATAAATAACATACAGATCTTAGAAAGAAAATCCCATCTAGAATACGAAAAAAAAAAAAAAATCCTAACTTTTTGGTTAAGCAATAATACCTGCAAATGACTTTTCACATGAAAGATAGTCAAACCATCTGAATCCATCAACTTTAGTATTGCTTTGGGTGTTGCCTCTGTAATTGATACAATAAGTACAATGATGGACAATTTTTCCTCCTCAAATGGATAAAAAGCTCGTACTGAAATTACTTACTTTCAGCACCTCCAAGGCGATTTACGCACTCAACAAATTTCTCATGAAGATCTTGGGTCCATCTGATCCGTGTTTTACTTGAGAGTGTATTTGAAAGATCTTTGCCAGAACATATATGAACACCTCCCGAAGAAAATCTTGGAGACTGCTTTTCTTCTCGAGAATTAAAGTTCAGCTCTGCAAATGGATAACTATATGGATTACAACCAACCTGTACAGAAACAACATGCCAGGGTCAAAATGAATTTTCTACCTAACACGTATAGAGGCTTAAACTAGTGAAACTAAATACAATGGAGAAAACATACTTGACGATCCTGTTTCCTTTGGAAAGGAACTGAAAATTGATTCCCTGGAGAGACACTACGACTATCAAGAAACTTATTGTGTTGTTGTGAAGGACTATTGTTCCCTGAAGAGCTGCTTAGACCTTTATGAGACTTGTCAAAGGATTTATAGTAAGAGAAATGGGGTTTTCCAGCCGATTCCAAAGTGCTTCTCGATCCAAAGTTGTGATCAGCTTGCTCTCCTGAGTTAACACAATAGTTTGCCCCGGAAGATTGATGTGAAGAAACATTTGAATCATAGGACTTGGAGTATTGAGAGCTGAAAGAACCACCAACTTGACAATCATACTGCGGAAATCGCATGTATCTTTCTGTTGCGTAAAAGGCCGAAGAGGGAGATTCAAACCGGCTCATTATACTCTCAGATAATCTTTCAGGACTAAGATTTTGCTGTTGGCTTCCTGCCTCCATGGCAGCGGTCTGCAAACGAGGCGCCATGTTCCGAATCTGTTGGTTGCCGAAATATTGCGAGGTTAGATGAGCAAAGTCGCCGATCATTAGTCCGTGGTTCTGTTGAACACGTTCTTCGCAATCCTTATTTGGAGTGTTCATCCACAAAACGAAGAGAAATGCAATCCTAATATTGTCCTAACAGGAGAGAGCAGAGATGGTTTCTGTTCAGGTTTCTTTGGAAGCAGCAAAAAAAGTATCAAATTTCGTACTGTTTTGAATTATATAAAGACTAGAAGCCACGCAAATTACACGCTAAATCTGGAAAAAGAAAGATGAAGATAAGTGGTATGATCCACTGTAAGTTTTGAATTCAAATGTATTGTATATATGGCTAAAAAATTCTCTTCTCATATTCTTACAAACTTCTTGCATAAGATATGAATATATACACATACCTTCGAATGACTATACATGCATGCCTTTTTAGTTATTCTAAAATGGATAGGAACGAACAATAAATTTTGACATAACCAAAGCACAAAAAGAAACAAAATCTCTTAACAATAAACAAACAAGTTTAATATCAATTTGTCATCATACGGAAAAAAAAATATAATAATAATAATAATAAAATTGGTCAGGAAACGAATATCATTTCTCAGAAAATAAACGTGAATCAATTTCAAAAAATCAGAATAGAAGTAGTCTTAAATTAGTTTGGTTTTTTGTTTTTTTTTAGAGGTTTGACACTCATTAGTGTTTCCGTACGTAGTGTTACCATTTGATCGTCAGAAATTAGGTTGAAGAATATTGAAGTTATGGGCATCTGTGACTGTGGCTTAATAATTTAATGAGATACTGGCATAAATTCACAGTAACAGATCTTGAAATTATTCCTGTTATGGATACGGATGACAGCACTTTAGCCACTCAATAAGATTTAGGTGTACCAGAAAAACATTAAAGAACAAAAAGGAAACAAAAATGATGCCTTGTTTCCTAGAAAGAAATTTAAGATTCTCCTCCATTCCCTGCAAGAATGCATCTTGCAAAGTAGGAATCTGAAATTACCAGAAAAATTGCTGTATTACAACGTCCAGTGGAATTGGAACGGTAAGATTCCAAAACGTGCTCAAAGAACCAAGTATAAAGTGAGCTACACCAATTGCATCCATAAGAATCATCTTTTGTGAAATATTGATATTGTTATGGAGACGCATATGGGTACTTGGAAAAACCAATTTGTTTACGAAAAACAAACAAACAAGAATTGCATTTTCTTCCATTGCTAGAATTATTATCGGAGTAAATTATAAATTAATATCTCTAGTTTTGCAAAATGAATTAAATAAATTTTTAAAATTTCAAAAACTAAATGTTCAGTTTCAAAATAAAATAATAATAATTAAATAATACAAGAAGATTAATGAGAAAAAAATATTTTTTAAAATAAAGTAATATTAATACAAAAAAATTAATGAGAAAAAAATATCTTTTAAAATAAAGTAATATTAAATTAAACATAATGATCAAGAGACTTTAGAGAGATTGTTTAATTTATTTTGTAAAATTGAAAAGATGAATTTATAATTCACTCATTTTTATCACCCAGCCTACATGGCCTTTGCACTCGACTGTCTGAATTAGTCCTTTCACATTGTTTAGCTTTAAAATAAAAGGTGGGATAGACAAATAACTCAAACATTATGTATCAAAAATATCACATTAGGTGTCTAAATTAAATAAAAAAACATTGATCATGCCTAAGATTCAATTAGGGAGAGACCAATTAGTCTCGGATTACAAAATTTGAATTCAGAATATCCTAAACAGTAGAATTTATTGAGAAAATCAGATTTAATATGATATAGCATCAGTGACGTGATATAACTTATTAAAAATAAATTATTTTTTAAACGATTTGAATTAAAATAAAGATATTTAAAGAATAACATGATATATCATAGTTGGCAAGTACAAATTGTACAAGGCAATAACACAAACTGTTAAATTTACCTTATTTTTTAACAATTAATTAAACTATTGAGATACACATTTTAAAGAGGCTTATTCATTCGTCGCGTCCCATATATGTAGCTATTTTGAATTTTATATATAAGTAGAAAATTTTATATTTGTTAAATATGAAAAGTTTCGGATATTTACATATAAAGTTGGATCTATAACGTAATAGTTTAAACTTTTAAATTAAAATATTATTCATCTATGTATACGAATTTTTATTTGTAGGCCTGTATATGGGTTCAATTGACCCTCTAGTATAGATTTCTTTTGACAATTGGATCAAAACCGATGGTTCGACTAGGATAGGTGCGACGTGGGACGTGGTTGGTTGAGTTTTAAATCATGAAGATGCTTCGGTTGGATATAAAACCTGTTACATAAGTCCATGTAGGGATCCAAAGGACTCCCAATGCAAACCTTCGTAACAAGCTAAAACATTCATCTTTATTTCAGGAATATTGTAACCTTGCCCAATACCTTAATTTGTAAATAAATAAAGTAAAATAAAGAAACAGGATAATCGATCAAATAGTATAATAGTTAATGGACAAACCAACAAAATAATAAATCACTACTAACAATGAAAGAAACAAACAAGAACAGATTCCCTGGAATTTTTTAATTTATTAAAGTAGAAAAACACCATAATTAGCCAGCAATGATTCATAATATCTGCTTGGGAATCGGCCGAGTTTTCTTTCTTCGTTGAATTTTTTGAATAATTGAAATCATTATGATAAATCGTTAATTTAATTCATCATGAAGTAATTAAAACTTTTATCAAATATTCTCTCAGCTTCTTGAACATTTTGTTATATGTCGTTTATGTTAGCAGAGAAATAGTCGAATCGTATGCCTTCAATATTCGAAGGAAAATTATTGGGTTCACTTAGTCAAAAAGTGCACAAATTTTGTCTAGTTCATGAACTATAGCTTTCACATTAATTTATGTGCTGCATTTGAGATATTTGAACGGAGAAAAAGAAGAAGAAGAAGAAGAAAGAGATTGCAATTCTTCATTTCACACAGGAAAACGGCACTGCCGGTTGAGAGTTGAGAACCCTGTTCCATGTCTCCATCAGATAAAACTACAGAGATATCAAAAGTAGAAACACTTTTTTCTGGATCTTTGTAAATGTACGTACCATATGCTGGGACAATATCTTTCCCTCCATCCAATCCACCACTTTTTTTTTATCTAACATATACCAAATATCATCATGGTTTGACACCCATGCAATTATTTAATTTCTAGGGAATATTAATGTGCAAAAAAACAAGTGTGTTCTCATCCACCAAAGAAGTTGGCCTGCATTCAAGTGGAAAACTAGTTATATTGCCTAATTAAATTATCCAGCCCACATATGACCTATTTCTTGTACAAAATATATTAAAAATGGGTTGTTGGTTTTTTTTTTTTTTTTTTTTTTTCATGAATGGGGTTATTGAATCTAAAAGATGATTCTAACTCTCCCTTCTAAATTTAAGTACATTTGATTTTATGGGAACTGATTAAAGTTCCTTCATCGATATTTCTGAATCGAAGGTATTTTTCGGTTCACTTAAGAATCTAAGAAAGAAAAGGCAGAACCAGAATCGGAACCCTGCTCTTTCCTCATCTAACCATTGTGTTTTTTAGACATTTTGCTGAAGCTAGAAGACTAACAATGAATTGAATGAATGATAATATTACATTCAATACATAAGATAATTTAGTTAGCTAACTTTCAAAATGTTAATTTTCAAATAAAAATTTAGTGCAATTTTTTATTCGAAGTCAGAACAGGTAAGTATTTGTTGTCTACCTATTTAAGAATCTGATTATCCAATGCTGAAACAAATACATATTCGTGCACAGCTCTTTCTGAAAAGTAGGAATAACATCTCTAAATGCAGCTAGAAGTTGAGCTAAGAACGACAGTATGCATTAATAATAAATTAGAAAGGAAAGACAATATTTATTTGTGTTAATTATTTAATGGGCAAAAAAAAAAAAAAAACAGATAAGCATTATGTAAATAAAGTAATCTCTTAATAACATGTGTTATTGTATTAATGAAGAAGACAATGGTTCTAATCACAAGGCAACAAAGTGCAAGTTTAATGAATAAAGAAAGGGAGCAATGGTGATAGGACATAAGAAATTGAAATTGGCCCTTAAGGCTTTGGAGGGACATTTCAACCTCTCCATCACTACGGTAGGCGATCTCATTGTTCTCAGAAAGGGTGTATTTTTTTCATTTATTTATTTTTATATACTTCTTTATGGAGGTAGATGTATATGTATTTGGAAGATAGGGTAATATATGTTCCTAAAAGAGTCATGAATTCGGCCTAGAAGAGTACATTTCAAATTTTATTTTTTGGTTGAAGATTGTTGAGAAATTTTAAGAATCCGAAATTTACACACTCCTACAAACAACTCAATTTAATAATAAAAAAAACATAAATGAATAGAAATAAATAAAAAGTGAACAAACATTATTTAATTTGATTCAACAAAATCTTACTTACTCCACAAACTAAAGAGTAATTTTTTTACCGAGAGAAAATTAGTATAAGAATATTAATGTAATTTTTTTATCCAAAACTTCTTGTACACCCACTTTCACACTTAAAAGAAAATCTCTCAACTTTTGTCTTTTGCATAACTAAAGCCATACGGCTACTCCCTATTAATAAAATGCTTAATGTTCCAAAACATCACAAATTATACACGTTTTAATGATTTTAGTTCGTTCTTTAAAAATTATATAGAAAGGTCATCAACTAAGTATCCGATAACAATACTAGCACCGATTTGATTTTTCGACCAAAATTCGGACATCGATGACATAACGAGTGATGAAGCATGACATGTGGACTTTAGCAAGCCACGTGAGATTCACATAAGCATGACACGTGGACTTTAGCAAGCCACGTAAGATCCACATAATTAATTTTTCATATCACTACTTACGTGGATCCTACATGGCTTTTATGTAGATTGTCATGTTAGCATTGCATAAAAGTTTGGTCGAAAAATCAGATTTGTGCTAGTCTTGTTATCGAAGGCTTAGTTGGTGACCTTTCTATATAAT